AAATCTTTTATTAAGTATCTATATAAATTATTTCTATTTGTTTTCCATCACCATGAGGTTCTTTTCAATGTAAAGTTAATAACAAAAAATTAACTTTAGGATTTAATGATCAAACCCGAACTGCGAGAAAACAGAAGGATACATCTAATCTACGTAGTACCAGCAACAGTGTTGTTGTTGATCTCACGGAGGATGTGAGTGTTCAACCCACTTCATGGAAACGGAAACGTGGTCGACCTAAAAAGAATCGAGGATCAACTTCAAGAAATAACGGTTGGTTTTTAATTTTATATAAAATATTTTATAACTGGATCATTAGATCACTTAATTGATTGAATAATAATAATATTTTATGAATAGATCACTTAATTCATGGAATACTTTTAAAATTAATAAACTCTTGCAGAATATTGGGATATGGGTGATGCAATATTGACTTGCCAGTATTGTGGAGCACTTTTTTGGGTACCAGAGAAGAAAATTACTGAGAAAAATAAAAATATACCAGATTACGGCGGTTGTTGCCAAAATGGCATTGTACAACTTCCGATTCTGAAAGATCCACCCAGTTTTTTGAATGAAATGCTCTTCGGAGATAGTCGTAGAAGCAAGCATTTTCAGGATAACATCAGATCTTACAATAGCATGTTTGCCTTTACGTCATTTGGGGGAAAAGTTGATGGATCTGTTAACCGTGGTACTGGACCACCTGTTTTTACCCTTCATGGCCAAAATTATCATCTTATGGGCAGTTTGCTTCCTTCAGACGGTTCAACTCCAAAGTTTGCACAGTTGTACATATATGATACTGAAAATGAGATTTCGAATAGAATGAATGCCGTGAGGTTTGTACTTTATACTTTATGAATATTGATTACCCAATATTATTATTTTTTTAAATAATTTAAATTTTATTTTTTTTATTATTATTTTCTTTTAGACAAACAGGTGTTGATAACAACTTGCACGAGGAAATTATCATTGGGTTGAAGGAAATGTTAGACAACGATAACGAGCTGGTAAAGTCATTTCGTATGGCTCGAGACAGAATTAAGAACCATAGTCAGCATGATGTTAGAATCCGTCTAATAGGAAAGAGATACAATGATGCCAGACGATATAATCTACCCTCAAGCTCTGAAGTTGCTGCTTTGATTGTTGGTGATTTCGATCAGTCTCTAGGTGAGAGGGACATTTTAGTTGAGTCGAAGAGTGGCCGTCTACAACGGATAAACGATCTAAATGCTTCGTCTTTGGCTTTACAATATCCACTGTTATTGCCTTACGGAGAGGATGGCTATAGGGAAGACATTCCATTTTCTGCTATTAAAGCAGATACTGAAAAAGGTAGAAAACACGTGAGTTGCAGGGAGTATTTTGCATATCGTATGCATGATAGGGAGTGTGAGCCACGGACAATTCTTTCTGCTCGAAGGCTATTTCAACAATTTGTAGTTGACGCTTATACAATGGTGGAATCACAGAGATTGCGATATATTCGTTGTAATCAAAAAAAGCTTCGTTGTGAGATGTATAAGGGTTTGGTGGACGCCGTGCTGCGTGGCGATACTGATCCCAACTCCCGAGGAAAACGTATTATTCTCCCTTCTTCATTCACTGGAGGTCCAAGAAATATGATACAAAATTACCAGGATGCAATGGCAATTTGTAGATGGGCTGGATATCCTGATTTGTTCATCACTTTTACTTGCAATCCAAACTGGCCGGAGATTAGTCGTTTTCTTGAACCGAGGAAATTGCGTGCTGAGGACCGACCAGATATCATTTGCAGAGTGTTTAGGGCAAAACTGAAGCAGATGATAAAGGATTTTCGTGAGAAAAAAATATTTGGAAAGGTTATTGCAGGTGAAACATTTTCTTTAATTATGTTTTTTTTGCATTAATTTAATAGTTAATACTTTTTAATATTTTGAATATTAATCAAGTATTAATTATATTTACTACATGATTCGTTAATGTCTGTTATTTGTATATATTTCAGTTGTTTACACCATTGAATTCCAAAAGCGTGGA